CATTCTTATGATTAAAAATAATCTTTATCTCGATAACTCCACTTAAGTACAATATTTGTCAGATAAAACAAATTTCGTCTGAAACTCGACTCCTATTTAACATATTTCAACTTCATCACATACCCCAGAGTTTTGGGTCGAGCCACGCCACTGCTTCCTGTGGAATTCGCCGAGTCGAAGCCGTGATTTATTCGGTCGAATTAACATAACTATTTGTTTAATTTCCGACAAATACTTCAACGACGGAACAATACGGCAACGTTTTTTGTCACCGCGGTAGGAAACGATAAATCAGCCCGGCTCTCATTTCGGAACTGGAAGAACAAAGAGCCGGTATTTTATATAAATATGGATGAGGGCGTGCGGCGTACGTACGCAACGTGTCAGCCGGAAAATTCGAGTCAAATGGATCTGAGAAATGAGAGTAATTAATAGCAACGTACACGTTTAAAACATATTAAATTTATTCCTTTTTTTCAAAATTATATTCCGTATAGGAAATACTCAAGTGTAGCTTTTTTATTCGAAGAGGGTATCTTGTTAAATAATCCAAAAAAAAATCAGGAATGAAAAGAATGCAAATAATTAATGGAATTTTAGTTTATAATAAAAACTTATTTCGAAAGTTGTACCGTTTCCAAGATACAGGGTGTTTTTTTATTAATATCTCAGAGAGTAATAGTTATTTACACCACAAAGGAGGTAAGTATTATTTACCAGTCGAGGACGATTTTGCGCCCGAGCGGAGCGAGGGCTGGCAATAGAGTCCGAGACTGGTAAATTATACTTAACTGTTGCGTGGTGTATAACATTTTCTCTGCTCCCACAGTTCTTTATGGTTCATGAAATAAAGATTAGGTTTTATTTCGTGACATTTCTTAATCAATTAATTTTGACATTGTTCGAAATCTTGCAAAGTCGCCTTGGTTGCTTGGATTTTTTCGTTTCTAAGGTGTTTATAAACAAAGCTACATAAAAGATGCAATTTTGCTGGTTTTGAATTATTATTTCTAAATGAGTGGTTTTCAAATAGAAAGTCCAGCAAATGCTGCCTGCGAATTCTTATTGCCCGAGAAGTCGAAAGTGTGCTACGTACGAGCATATAGAAATTTCAAAGGATGGTGCCAGAACAAAAATACTGTTTGTGTTTATGAAATATCACTGCTAGCATATTTCATGGAGAAGTCAAGAACTTTAAAGTCACCGGCGAGTTTGTGAAATGAATGCTCAATGATTAAGTCAACTATTTTCATAGAGGAGAACGTGGCTATCTCAAAATACCCCAAGCTGAGAGCATTTTTGAAACGTAAGAATGACGGCTATACACCTAAAAAGTCAAACGTTTTTACAAGAGAACAAGTCAACTATTTTCTCGTTCAGGCCCCGATGATACATATTTGCTAATGAAGGTAATGACGGTCTTAGGCAGGTAGATGTTACAACCAAGCAGTCGGCAAGAATACCCTTTCCATGATTAATAATAAGATTGCACAGTTTTTGAAACGAGAACATCCTGAAACATATACAGGCCATTTATTCCGAAGAACATGGGCAACGTTATTGGCTAATACAGGAGTTAATGTATTCGCAATCAAGAGACATGGTGGGTGGAAATCAGCCACAATTGCAGAAAGTTATGTTGCTGACAGTTTACGTAACAAAAATGAAATAGCCAACGGATTCTTTACAATGACACTTCAACTTCAGGCTCTAGCAGTACGTTGTATCATACTGCATCATACTGCATCATACTGCATCATACCCTTAAAAACAATGTATTAATTAATAGTCTATTTACTATAGTGGGAACAGATAAAAACTATTTGGTTTCAAATCTCGTGATAAAGTCAGTACAACCTGCACTCTCGGACACCTTTTATAAAAAATATATGTTACGCCACTGGTTAACGTTTAAACTAATGTGATACATCTTTTTTTTAGTACATTTTCCTGCAAGCTTAGAGTTGAATAATACTATAAGTATACATTTTTTACATCTCGACCTTTTGCCTTTTGGCAGAGGCGTCTGTCACGTGTTTGTCCCTCAAAAATATGATACAAACAACAAACCGTCACCCTGTTTACATTCCCTCCCAGAGAAATAAAAAAGTAATTCCGGAAAACTTTATATAAAAACGGCCCCAGGGCCATTAAGTTATAAATAACGGGCTTGTTCCTTTCGTTCCCCCTAATTGAAACGGTCACTCGAAATGGGCAAATGGGTTTATTCCTACCATATAAAAAAACGCGTTATTAACCTGCCTACGTGCCTCGGGCCGCAGGAACCCCCCAAAAATTGTTGAGGGAATTACAACTTAATTTTTACGGCTCGGTGTTTCGGTGGTATAAATCCGCGATCTCTCCATTATCGGCCGATTCCTCCACTCAGCGTTTTCGACCCTCGGCCATTGTTAACAAACGTATATCTTTGTCAAGGCCGACTATGTCGAGTTACATGTATGTATAACGGTCTATAGTCTCTCTCATGTTGACCGGGTTCTTCTTTTGCATTATGATGACGTAAATATGACAATAGATCAATTTTATGCTACCATTCAATTCTTGTTATTTGTGTGCCTACTGGTTAAAAATGTAAAAGCAAATGGTACACTACTTAAATGAAATAAAATATTAAAAGATAAACTTTATACGAAATCTAATGGGGGCAAGTCGGGTGCCCGTGCAGGCCAAGGTATTGGTCCACAGCGTCTGATCCAACGTAAACGTAAAAAAAGAAGGGCCCGATTTTTCGATCATATAAAATCCTAGAAAACACGTTAATTTCTTTAATTAAGGTTTATTTAATATAGTTAGACAAGCAGAGAAATAACACCACATCAGTTGAGGAAAGTTATTAGAAATAAGAGGAGACGAATTGAAAAGTGCAAACTAAATGATGGTGGACTAATAGAAAATATTCGGTTAATAAAATTATGAAAAAATATCTTGAAAATATTTTCCACTGTTTACAGGATACTTTGCAATACGTTTGCACCTATCTTGTGAACACCCTGTAAAAGCTATAATAATGAAGCTTTATATTTAGGGTTTTGAGGTGTGGTAAAATTAAAAATGCTATCCATTTCTTTCTTAAATGTTTTTCAATTTTTGAGGGTCTTTTCTTAATGATAGTAGGCCGTAGAAAAGATCACGTCAAAAAATATAATATCCAAAAGGCCTTTTTGAGTACTACCACATAAAAAAAAGAATTTTTTTCTAACCTCTTCCCGAGTGACATCTTTGGAGTGTCACAGTCCATAACTGCAACAGTAGCAGTATCGTTATCATTGTATTCCTTTTTTTTTATCTTTTTAATATTCTTTACATATCAGTCGTATCGAATTTTATAATTAGCTTGTGACCGAGTTAGTTATACGGATATTTTCATTAAAAATTTATGGATATGCAATATTACCGAATCCATAACATTTCACAAAATAATTAGTTGCTCCAAGGTTAGCATTATTAATAAAAATTATTTGATGGGCTGTTAATAAAAATAAATATTGTTATAAATTCTTGTGAGATGGTAATTTTCTTACCTGTATTCCGCTTCGCTTCTTCTTCTTTGGAACCTATTTTTTTTTTTATTGTCTGGGCGCCAGTTTACATGAGCATATAGTTTGTAATTTAATTCAAATTTTGTTTGTTATGTTTATAGAGAAAGTCTCTGTTTGAGAAAAAAATGTAATTGAAGATTCAAGCAAATTTTAATTTAATATGAGTAGTCTTAACTCAGGGTAAGGTTCTGAGAAGATTAGTATTTTGATTTTAAAATATTATATTGATTAATGAATTCAGATACTTAATCTTGAGAAGGAAAATACAAAAAAATTATATTTGAATTTTAACTTAACACAGTTATTCTATTTCATTTAATTATTCGGATTCACTATATTTCAAATTAAAATAAAAATTATGTGATTTTTTTTTATACTAAATTTAACACAAGGGGTTTATACCTCTTTACCACTGTCTAATACACTAATTTATTTTCTTCTTAGTCCTTTATCTTCTCTATTTCTTTCCTGTACCTGTTAGCACAACTTTTGTTCCTGACTTGTCATCTATCCTCCTTACAACTCCTTGTTGTTTGTCTCCTTGCTGATAGTTCTATATTACTATTCCCTGTCGATGACCTGGATTAGATCTGTGAGGACTCGATACTGGGTAATACTCTATAACAGTTAACCTTGTTTTGTTATTGGACTTACTTAAGTTTCTATTGTCCGTAATCTTCAATTAATTTATTTTTTGAGACTGTTTTCTTCTAAGCCTTCTTATAAATGGTTTTCCTTGAATACATTGGCAATCAAATTATCTTTCTTTTAAATTAAAAATTTTATTTTCAAAACTTTAGCTGTCTTTCTTTTCTTAGTTACCTCACTCTTTTTCTTTTCATGTCCCACTATTTTTTTTAAATCACTTTCTAGTTCTAGTAATCCAAATTTTTATTACTAACCACATTTTCAATTTCGAATATACTTTATTACATATTTCTTTAAATTTTGTTTGTAATTGATTTTCGACGAACATTTTTAATTGATCATATACTAATTTTTCTTTATTTTATCTCTTCTTTCTCAATTTCAACCATCTACTGTACTCCTATTGGTCACACTCATTCAACTTATAATTTATTTCTTTAAAATCAATTTTACCAGTTTTATTTTCCCAAATTTGCCTTTCTCTATGATATATTAAAGTTTTTAACGAAAACAAAAATTAAAGACACTTTGCTTAAGGAAAATTTTACATTTTGAAATTTTTTGGATGCGCTGTGTCTTATCATATATTTGATTGCTGCCCATGGCTTCCAAAGGTAAGCAAAACTTTTTATCGAGAATAACTTTTTCTCTAAAAAATCAACAAAAAAAGCTTACAATAGCGCGGAACCCCAACCGGGGACACACTGTATACGAATACTGAGACGGAAATTAAGCAATAATTAGGTTGCCACTGCGCATCCTGCCTTCAGGGCTCAAATAAATTGGGTTTACCTGTGCCGTGATTTGTGCACGAAAGTAGAGGCTTTTGGCTTCATCTTGACAGATACACTCTGTAGTCTGTACTTTACATCCTTTTCTTTTTCTGGTCTACAAGAAAATCGAAGATATGGTATCATAAACCTTATATATAAACGTCCGTTGAGAGATGACTTTCTCGATTTTATGTCGTGTCTAGTAGAGATATTCTTCAAACCCAGCTTCTTAAGCACAGCCATGCGGCAAAGCTCTGTCGAGGATTCGCGAGTCGTTTGTACTGTTTGTAGTACTTTAAAGTTTATACTCGATGCAGAGGACGTACGTGTGTGTATGTGTGTGTACGACTCGCGTCAAATCCTATCAAAGCGATCAAGTTCCTTGCCGACAAGGCGGTAGATCCCGGGGATATGTGTTTTGGGGGCGAGCGAAGTTCGCCGGGATGTCACATCGCTTTGAAGGCATATTTGCGGAAAGTAACCGGGCAAACCGAAACCTGGCGGGGCGGGGAGCCGCGGCGCTGTTTGCTCTGGATAAAGTTTCCGGTGTAGGAGAGTCCTGCGACTTGGGAAGGCCCGCGGGCTACGAAGAGGCTAGGAAAGTAAATTTCGGGGGGCAATTTACAGCGGGGGTTGGTTCGAATTTTATGTACAGGCTACTTACAAACGTGTTCCAAGCTGTTGTACACTTCAAAAGCTAAAAACTAAGAGAATGTTAAGAATTTCAAATTATGCGCCTGTTCTTAAATAAGAGGTTTAATCAAAAAGTAACGGGAATTTTCAAATTGCGCCTGTTGTATCTTGTCCATCGGGTTGATTCTTTTTTCGTAAGTAGTTAACAAAGAGATGCAATAAGGAGAAAACGACCCGAACTTTGGAAAGACAACTCGTGGATTCTGTACCATAACAACGCACCCGCGCATAGCGCTTTGCTTATTCAACAGTTCTTGGCGAAATACAATACCGTTGTGATGCCGTAACCACCCTATTCTCCGGATATGACCCTTGTGACTTGTTCCTATTTCCCAAACTCAAAAAGATACTTAAAAAACGTTTTTCAACAATAGATGATATAATGGCAAAAACGCAAGACGATACCTAAAGAGGCATAATATCACAGAGGGACTACATTCAAGGAGATGAGATAAAAATTGAAGATTAAATAAATACTTTCTCAAATGAAACATAAGAATTCGTCATGTTGATTTCAGAAAAGTTCAATTATATTTCAAAGAGCATCAAATGTATTTCAGACAGTTGTATTCATGTGTCCTACAATTATTATCAAATCTGTGATGTGTATGAGCCATAATAATGGAATAATAATATTCATTTCAATGTTTGTTCATTTCATATTTAATTTTTAAAACCTAATTTGGCCTGATTTTTTCTGAAATATGACAATCTGAGATAGAAATTGTTGTTTCAAGTATAAATTACAAACTCTTAATTAAAAACTGACTCTTCTGAAATTAAACAGAAACTTACTGGAATCAAACGCACAATAAAATATAAAATGATTATGACATGCATTTACTTTGCACCACAAACATTTATCAACAAAGTGAATAAAGTTCACAGTTACTGTAAGTTACTTTTGCAGAAAAACTTCTAATTGAAAAAGTTAAATTGTTACGGTATTTTTGACGGTATCTCCAACTATGGTTACCATTAAAAAATATATTCATATGGACCAATTTTATTTTAATTCTAACCAATTTCCTGATACTAAAATCTCTGATCTGCCAGTTGAGCTAGAGAAAATGTCATCAGTATTATTCTATCTTGAACAGAAAGATTGACTTATGTTTCTGGTGTTAATGAAGGACTAGGCGAAATAATTCGCTTTATTTTTATTACAGTTCGTTAATGTTGAAAGTTAATGTCAGTTTCGTGCGTATTAACATCAGATCTGTGTTTACGATTTAACACGCAACTGCCAGCAAGGAACTGACGATTTTAGATTTAAGTCGAAATAAATACATCAAAAAATCCATTCATGAGTTTTAAAATTACCATGAGTATTATTAGAGTGAGATTTTTATTTACTTACGAACAGAATGGAAGCTTTATGCAAACAAATGGTTCATCTAGTGGCGGTTAGTGGTCGGTTTATATAAGAAGGCAAAATGTAGATCACAATTAATAATTATACAGGGTGTACAAAGTTTGATAGCCATTACTTCAGCAGGAGATAAAGTAATCATAAATGAACAAAACGGGTGTATATTGCAGGGGTGTAAGATTAACAGTTTTGAAAATACAGTGAGTATTAATATTGGGGAGTTTCATCACAACGTGACAACAGCCCTTAACCTGCTGATGCACACCGCGTATACACGCGGCAAACTTGTCCTATGGAAAAAATGTAAACAACTATTATTGTAAAATATTTAGTAAAAAAGACAATTGTTTTCCGGTTTTTAAGTAAATAAAATAAAATGTATCGATTTTGTAGTATCAAGATAGTGCTGTGTTTAAATTTTAGCACGAATTTTAGTAATTATGAATCTCTTAAAACAAGAACTTAACTTTACGTATTTGAAAAATATGTACCCAAAGATTCACGTCGTCCATATAATCATACGCATTAAAAATAATTTAGGTACTTACCAAAAAGCAAAATTCAGTAATTTTTAAACGCATATGTACAAAACAAACTACAACATATGCTCAAAATGTCTACCACCATTTTCAATGCACGCACGAAACCTACGAATCCAATTTTCGCGCACTCCCTGGAAAACACCTCAAGAAAAGGAAATAATGGTACGCAAAAAATACTCCGACACGGTCCAATTCCAGATACCAACTGAATTGCGTATTGGTGGTTGCTGGACACCTTAGTACCTCGTGTTAATTAATCGCCACGCCGTTGTCACATTGCTCGATATGAATTTTATCGAATTTTAAATTTATTACAACGCTAATTATTTTTTAGAATTAAGCATAAAGCAGTTCAAAAAAGTGAAAATCGTATTTTATGGTATTCTATACACGCAGTTATGTCAATATTCCTTAATTAATCCAACGTTTGTACATCAAGTTGGGAGATTTTGATATTTTTTTTCTCGGAAATGGTTAAGTTTAGGACCCATGTCATATAAGTTTTTTTTTTATCTTAATGTATTCTATCGTCTGTTAAAATTAAGGCAGTAAAACTACTAACACCCTGTAAAATGAAATAGATAAAAGGAGAAATATTAAAAATAAGTACAAAAAAGTAGTTTCTTTATTACTTATTGCGATTTATAATTAAAAGTAGAGAATAATATTTAATCGCAAGAAAGCCTGGCTGTCAGAGAGTGCCGCAATTCAGTGGCGTGCCAAGCGGGTCAACCGAGACATGCGTGAGCTCCGCCTCAGAATACTTTTCACGTTCACGTCACCTTAGTATACTGTTGCCTTTGTTATCGCGCGGACGTTGCATAAGTAATTCCTATCCGTTGGTGTTTACGGTGGTGTATTGTAGACAATTTAATTTGTTGCTTTTTAATAAATAATACGTACGCCTATATCCCGCGGATCAGTTCTGACAGCCTTATTTATTATTATTTACCCGCAATCCTATCCTTATCATACTTCTGCTAATGACACTTCTATAGAGCGGCCATATTCAACCCCTTTGTGGGTTTGGGGTGTACATAACATTATGGGTTTTATGAACTTCTTGGTTTATTATTTTCTTTTTATATATTATTTTTATATTTTAATAGAAGCTTGTTTTTAAAATACATATTTTTTAAATTTCTATTTATTTCTCACTTTGTTACCATTTGTCGCGGACCTAATCAAAATAATAAACAAGAAATATAAACTACTTTCTTTCTAAAAAGGATGGACTAAGTCCAGCACACAGAGGACATTTGATTACTCATTTCTGGGGCAGGCACCCATTAACTGATTATTATAGTGGCGGATAACGACGACGAATTAGCTCCCGAAAAGTTTTCGAACCCGATGAATGGAAAGATAATAAACGAGGGGCATATTTATGCCGAGATACTCCAGAAAGATTTGGAGCGAAGTTACGCCGCACGTGCAACATGCCAACCAAAAATAACCGTAATTTGTGGAACCAGGTATTAATTTATAGCTATACTTAAATCCTCTAATCGCATTTTTAGCGGGCTTACGGTATAGTGCCATTAAAGTTAAAAATAACATTGCGCCGCCAAAGCGGAAAAATAAACATTCGATTACCTGACGGCCATCAATCTTCGTTAATATTGGTTTATAACCGGCCAAAAAGGAGAGTTTAAGTGGGGCAATTCCGATCTGCATAATTCCGGGGCTTTGGCCAGGAAATCTCGTAATTCATGTTCTTTTACGTGTGTCGTGTGTTCACGAGCGAAATTAAAAAACTTTTATTTTAGTTTGGCTTAGAACTATGGGCAAAATGAGAATAAACGCAACTCATACGAAGTCTAAAAAATCAGCTGTAATTATTGATAGCTTAAAATTTAATACCTGAAATGAAATAAGACAGCAGCTAAGGGTATTATTTTAAAATAAGTCGGCGAAATAGGGACAATAGGGTCATACAATGTATTTCTTTGGCCTACCTTTGTTGTTCTAGGGCTAATCTCTGTGGAGGCGGATACGTTATCAGAATCCTCAACACAATCTGATATTGATTTAGGTTTTTGTTGTCGAATAAGAGGAGTGGCGAAGCTTTTCCAGCCACCTCTGAGAATATCGACTGTGAAGAACAGCGAAACGTTCGAAGCTTTCATGCGACGAGTTACACAGCTGACTACGAAACGTTTTCGAGGTCCACTATTGTTTCAGAAGCCTTAGAACTAACAGGAACCCAAATCAATATCAAATCAGGGGTTATGCTAGCGGGTTCGCCCCCACAGAGCCTAGACCAAGAACAACAAAGGCAGGTCAAAAATTCCTAGTTAAGATCAAGGAAGTGCCATGTAAATTTAGAATTAATATTCAAAAATCATTACATGCGAGTTAAAATTGACTGTGGGGTAAATATTGTCATATTTTTTTCGTATATATTTTTTTGAACAAAATTTTGAATTTCAAGTTTTTTACATAAAAATTGATATTAGTGTCATGGGAAAGAGACGCGCAGTTTTTGAGTAAAATAATTTTCCATGATGCAACGCACCTAGCTTTTTAAAACTGTTCATAATTTATTCCTTAAAATTACACAGGCCGACAAAATTTCAAAAAAAAAAAAATTCCAGAGATCAGACACTACGCTTCCGAAGGCATTTGGCGCGCTG